TTTACCTCCCCCCCTCGCCGTGTGCACGGCGCTGTATGATTTACGCCCCTGTCTCCCTGCTCCATGGTCAGCACGCCTGGCCCCCGCAGCCCTGTCCACCCTGCAGCGCTCTGCACCGGTGACCAGGTGTCCCGAGATTTGGGGCTTTGTCTGATATAGGCGCCTATTACCCCCCACCCCTGCCCCGATTTTTCATACTTGCTGTCTGGTCACCCTACGCTTACCCTCCCCGCCCCCGGGCTCTGCACCGACACCGCCCCCCTTGGACTCTGCCTGGCCCCTCCTGGTCTCTGCACTGACCCCCCCATTCATACAGGGCTCTGCACCAACATCCCCCCCCCGGGCTCTGCAGTGACCCCCTGTCCCCCATCCATACAGGGCTCTGCAGTGCCCGCCCCAGGGCTCTGCACTAACCCCCCTCCCCTAGACTCTGCCTCCCCCCCCCACCAGGGGTCTGCAGTGACCCCCTGTCCCCCCGCCCCGGGGCTCTGCAGTGACACCCCTCCCCCTCCCTGGGGCTCTGCAGTGACCCCCTGTCCCCCCCGTCCATACAGGGCTCCGCCCATATAGGGTTCTGCACTCCCTCACCCCATTGACCCTCCCCTGCAGCTCTTCACCATGGTCACAGGTCTGTGGCCTCACAGGCCGTAGGGCTGCCCCCAGCAGGGCTACTGGCACCGCACAGCCGCCAAGGCTGGATCCCGCTGCATCCCTCCCAGGGTAGCCAGCCGAGCCCGTTTTGCACAGAACTCGTTCCACAGAGTCACTAGCCTCCTCCCCTCCCCTCCGTCCCAGCGCTGACCAGATACAGGCGTGCAGGGAAGTGGGAGCCAGAAAAGGAAGTGAACAGCTCGGTGCGGGAGGAGGCCAGGCACAGCAGAGAGCACCACAGCCGGGGTGATAAACCCAATCCGCCGGGCGGGCGGCGCTGGGTCCCTGCCAGGCCCAGGCCCAGGCCCAGGGGGACTTCGAGGGGGCTTGGGGACAGCAAAGGCGTGAGGGAGATCTGACCACAAGTGCCTGAGTGACAGCTGTTCGGGGGGGGAACGGGGTACCAGGGTGCAGCGCCCCACCTCCAGGCCCGTTCGCAACAGGCCCATAGGGGCTGAAAGTCAGGCCTGTCTGGCAGCCGCTTGGTAGCCCCGTGTGGGTCTCAGCCCCGTTCCTGGGGGGCAAAGCGCCCATGTCACATGAACCACCATCACGGCTGGTGCTAACTGGCCCCTTTGCCAGCCGCCTCCGCAGAGAGGCCAGAGCCTGCCTGGGCCACGGAGACCAAGCCCCCTGCACTTGGGCCGTGCGTGAGGGGAGCCTGCCGTGCCCAGCCTGGGCTGCTCAGCTCCGGAGACGTGCAGAAGCTGCCAGTCTGGTCAGGGGCCGTGCCCGTCTTCCTGGGCCTGGAAGGCTGGATGCTGCAGTTCGCCTGGGGCCACATCCCAGGAGGCCCCAGTGCCCGGTGGACGTCATGTCCCAGGAGGGCCCAGTCACAGCACGATCCCAGGCAGGGTCCCCCTTGCCCAGGGTGCCCGCCCCAGCCATGCTCCATCAGGGCAATTCCTGGAGTGGGCTGTTCATTGCCTCTCCCGGCCCCACACAGGACCCCGGCCTGGCTGTGATGCAAACTGCAGTGGGAGCAAAAGTCTGGCTCTGGGATCGTGCCCCCCCAATCGCTCCCCCATGGCAGCTGTAAGGATCACAGCCCCCAGCCCATCCCCCCAGCTCGGTTCCTGCCATTGTCACGGGGGTCAGCGGGTGGCTCTTCTCTGCCTGGGGTCAGGGGCCCATGGCTGGCAAAGTTACTTCCTTCCCGGCTCACCCTACAGTCCCGGGCCCCCAAAGAGACCCTGCTGTGGGCCACAGGCTCTGGGCCGGGGCGGGGCTGGGCAGGATGGGTCCCGTCTGTGGCTGCAGCTCGCCCGCGGCTCAGCAGGACCCGCTCCCTAGGGCAGGCGAGCCCTGAGCTCCCAGGGGACAGCTCCCCTCAGCCTCTGAGCTCCCACCCGCTGTCCGTCTGCCTCGAGATCCCCTCCGCACCCTCCAACTGCAGAGTTAGCCCCACAGCAGAGCTTCCCATTATCTGACCCTCCCTGCTGGTTCCGCCCCCCAGTCGCAGGCACGGTCAGGTTCCCCATCCCAGCCTGCATGAGGGCAGCAGAAGGGTGACCCCTGGATGGGGCTGGCCCAGGGGACGCAAGCCCTGTCCTTCTGCAGGTACAGCATGTTACAAACCCCACCCTGCCAGGTGCATGGCCAGCCCCACTGGTGCCCAGCGCTGCCCCTACGAAGCCTGGGTTCGTCCCCAACTCAGCGCTCGCTCGCTGGGCTGCTCTGTCCGTCCCAGGCCCCAGGCTGTCCCCCACCCCACCCCGCGATGTCCTCCATGCAGCCTGTCCTGGGGAGCGGCCGCCTCTGAGCTGGGGTGAGGGCTCCCGCGCGAGGCTGTGGCCTGCAGGGGGGCGGAGTGGGCTGCCGCAGCTCCCCATAGCTCTCCAGCCCACGTGGCTGGGGCCCAGAGGCTAACGGACCAGCCTTCCCAGCGCTCAGGGGAAGGTGTCATCAGCCCACTTTACAGGTGGCTAAACTGAAGCACAGAAGTCAGTCAGCAGAAAAGCTAGGACCAGAGCCCAGCAGTCCTGACTGCCTCCCCCACTCGAGCCCTCTCTCACCCAGAGCCAGGGCAGAACCCAGGAGTCCTGCCCACCCACCCTCCCACCCAAAGTGGGGATAGAACCCAGGAGTCCTAGCGCCAAGCCTGCCGCCCTCACTGCTAGACCAGGTTTCCTGCCATGACCCCAGTGACCAGCGGGGAGAGCCAGGAACTCCAGTGAGATTCCCCATGTGCCTACTGGGGGCAGGTTACAGGAGCAGGTAGATGCGGGGTGGGGTACAGGGCAGAGTCCCGGGGACCCATGGTGCACAAATGCTGTTCCCCGGGGCGGGGGCGTCAGAGGCAGGGTTTTGCAGCCCCGGGCCCCCAGCCAGCCGGGCACTCGCCCAGGTGGGGCGGTGCCGCGGGTGGGGGGGGAGGGCGCTTTGTGGTTGGCCTGGCTGCTGACTTTGACAGATGGGCCCAGGGAACGTCCCGTTCAGGCCTGTGCGTTCCTGGCAGGGCCGGAGGTGCCTGCTCAGCCCTGCTGCCTCCCTCACATTCCTGGCAGGGGCCAGGGCTTCCCGGCTCCGAGCGGGGGCTGCCTGGCTCTCCTGGGGCAAGACTGGGCTAAGCCTCCCTCCCCCAGTGTCCCACATGCCCAGCCAGCCTCCCAGATTGGCTCTGCAGAGAGGTGCCCCTACAATCCTGGGGGGTCAGGATCAGGGGCGCTGGCACGTGTATGAGGTGTAGGGGAGGGCAGGAGCACGAGTGCTGTCAGAGCTGGTGTCCCACTATGGTCCCTCCCCAGTTCATCCCATTCCCCGTGAGGCAGGACGCCCCCCCTTCCCTCCTGCCGGTCGGTGCCCGCAGAGGGACTGGACCCAACTGCCTTGGGTCAGGGGAAGCCGCACAGTCGGGCCCAGCAAGTGCAACCAGCCAGCTCCCCTTGGCCTGACAGACACCATCCAACTGGGGCTCCAGCCCCACCTGAGGGAGCGGCAGAGACCCAGTGCCCTGGGGGTGCCGTGTGGCCCCCTGGGCTCAGTCCAGGAGGGATCCCCAGGGGAGCAGCACTCCCCCAAGCTGCAGCGGAGGTGGGAGATGCCGCTGCTGGGGGGCCAGGCAGCCCTGAGCCACTGCGGTGCCCACACGGGATCCCAATTGAACCTGTCGATGCAGCGCCCCTGCCCTGCAAGCTCCCCTACTCCCGGAGCTGGCCCTCCCTCCCCACATGAGCCCCCACACTTCAGGGGCTGGCCCTGCCTCCCCCCAGGGCCCACGGGCATCATCACGCAGAGGGCAAGATACACAGGCTTTATTACAAAGAGTAGAGCTCTGGTGACGACGCCCTGACAGGGAGCCCCCCCCCACTGTGTGTGTGCAGGGGAGGGGCAATGCCCAGCTGTGTGAGCTCCCCCGACCCTTCGGTAAAGGGCAGCTCCTCCCCACCTGTGGCTCTGGGGACGAGGCCCCCCTGGGTACAAGTCTCCGGGCTCGACGGGGGTGGGATCTGCTCCTCGGATGTGGCTCAGGGCCTCGCAGGGGTGGAGAGAAGGGGGCAGCTCCGAGTCCAGCTCCCTGGGTCTCAGGGCTGGGAGTGGGGATGGGCCAGTGGTTCTGCTCCCGGGCTTTTCGCGAGCCAAGGGTGGGGGCACCGGGAGGTCGGGGGTGCTGGGGGTGCCACGCTGCTGCAGGGGTATCACCCTCCCAGGGTTCAGTCCAACCATTCCGTGCTTCCCCCTCCCCCGACTCAGGTTGGCAGAGACCCTTGGCGGGGGGGAGGGGGTGTTTTAAGTGTCTTTGGAGACCCCGCTAGGAGGGCTGGGTCCACACACAGCCCGCGGGTGTTGCTGGGCTCAGTGGGGCCCCCCCTGCAGGGCCCCGTTCAGCCCCCGGCTGGAGCGTGTGTGGGAGGGGCCGATGCCCGGGGGAGAAGCAGGATGGTCCGGCACGCAGGTGGATGCTGGTCCCTCAGTAGGCAGGGGGCCGGTCAGCCCCGCATGCTGCTCATGCGCTCACCCAGCAGCCAGTACGTCCGCATCTTGCCCTTGCCCTGCGGGAGGAGAGGAAGCTCAGGGGGGGGATCCCGGGGGTGCTCCCCCCCATCCCCATGCAGGGCCCCAGGCAGCCTGGCCTGGGAGCGGGGTGCAGGCCAGGGGCAGAGTCCGCTCCGACAGGTGTTAGGAGATGTGGCAGGGTCGGGGACAGCCCAACCCAGGCGGGGCTCGAGGGAGGGGAGCAGGGGGGGGGCAGCTGTGCACAGGAACAGGACTCCATGGGGAGGGTACTAGTGCCCAGGGGAAGACAGTGGCGGGGGGACGGATGAGGCTGGTGGGGGCAGGGGGAGGCCATGCTTCCATCACCTTCATCTCCACATCCCCACGCAGCTCCAGCTCGAAGCAGCCGACCTCCTCCAGGACGCTCTTGGTGGCCGACGACAGGTGGATCTTCAGAGCTGGAACCACAGACAGGGGGCTGTGGATAGTGCAGGGACACGGCCCCCCTGCCCGCAGAGACCCAGCCCCCTCCAGCTCCCTGCAGCCACCTGCCCGGCCTCGGCTCAGCTCCTGCAGAGGACGACTGGCCCTGTCCAGCCAGCTCCAGCCACCCACTCCACTCTGCTGGCCCCCCAGCACCCCTCCCCACTCCCCACCCAGTGCTCCCCTCTGCCCCCCATTTGCTGGCACCACCCTCCCGCCGCAGTGCCCCCCTCTGCCCCCCACACCTCAGCCCTGTGCCTGGCCCCTTTACCTTCCCCATTGGACTCCATCCTTGAGGCCGTGTTCACCGTGTCCCCAAAGAGGCAATAACGGGGCATCTTCAGACCAACCACCCCGGCACAGACCGGGCCTGGGACAGGAGAAAGAGTGTTGGGCACCCCACTGCAGGCTGTCCCCTCCCCTGCCCAGATCACATACATTCGAATCAACCAGCCCTTGCACTGATAGTGCTGGGCTAGTGCAAAGGGCCTCGCACGCTAGCGGCTCCCTGGGTGCGGCTGGGAAGGTCCCCAGCCAGCCGGTGGTAGAGCTAGGAATGGAACTCAGGAGTCCTGGCCTTCAGTCCCCCCCCCCCACCTCTAACCACTAGACCCCATTCCCTTACCAAAAGCTGGGAATGGAACCCAGGAGTCCTGGCCCTCAGTCTCTCCCCCTCCCACCCCCGCAACCACTAGACCCTGTGACATTGCACTCCATATGCTTGATGGAAATATGCTGATGAATATGACATCACTGGAATTTGCTTTACACTAAATACCCTTGTATGGTGCCATTAGAAAGCTTGTAATCTACTAAGTGTGTTCATCCTATTTGTTTGCAAGTCTTATTTCTATGTCTGGAGTTGGGAGAATAAGATATAAACTTGTATCACGGATGTAAACATATGAAGTGGAGGCCATTAAGGGTGCTCCAGAAACAATCAGTTGTAAATGGCCTTAGTTACTTGAAAGCCTCCCTGTGGACGCCTGGGCCAGCCCATGGGCAATGGAGACTAGGGGGTCTTACAGGGACATGTGACCATGTCACCCGATACTAGAATCCATCTTAAATCTGTTTCTTTTCCATTTAGAAGCAGGGGTGGGGACCCAGAGAAACGAAAGAGTCCCGCCTTGTGCCAAAGCTATAAAAGGGGGTGGAGCAGGACAAAGGTTGCGGCCAGTCATGAGAAAATCCCTGCTTACCACCTGAGATGTCTGCTGGAACTAACAAGGACTGTACCAGGGGAAGGATTGGGCCCAGCCTAGGAAGGAGTCTAGTCTGTGAAAGAAGCTGATTGGAACAGCTCTGAGGGCGAGATTTACCTGTAATCAGTTTCTTAATGTATTAGGCTTAGACTTGCGTGTTTTTGCTTTATTTTGATTGGTGACTTACTCTGGTCTGCCTGTTATTACTTGAAACCACGTAACTCCTACTTTTTATCCTTAATAAAATCACTTATGTTTATTAATAAACCCAGAGTAAGTGATTAATCTCTGCGGGAGCAAACAGCTGTGCATCTCTCTCTATCAGTGTTATGGAGGGCGAACAATTCGTGAGTTTACCCTGTATAAGCTTTATCCAGAGTAAAATGGATTTATTTGGGGTTCAGGCTCCCAGGAAGGCTGAACACTGGAAAAGTCCCTGTTAACTGAGAAGCCCCTGGGCTGAGTGAATCTCAGTTTCAGTGAACTGCAGAGGGGCGTGGCCCAACCTCTGGGTCTGTGCTGGAGCTGACTGGAGTGTTTAACTCAGCAAGAGAGGAGTGGAGGGGCACCTGTTCTGGCAGGAGGGTTGTTCTCAGGGGTATCCCAGCTCATCGAGTGACAGTCTCGGGGGGAGTCTCTGTGACCGAACCCGTCACAGACCCCACTCCCTTCCCAGAGCGGAGATAGAACCCAGGAGTCCTGGCTCCAAGTCCCATGCAAAGGGCCCAGCCTATTTAGGGTCAGAGCGAGACAGGGTCTTGCAGAGCTGCATGGTTGGGGAGGGGCAGGAGGGGGCTTCTGCCCCGTAGAGGTACCAGGTGCCGCCCTTGGCTCTCTGTGCACCCCAGTATGTGCAGGGGGGGGGTTACCCTAGGGGCTCCCTGCAGCCCATTCCCTGGCACCGCCTGGGGCCACGCTGTGCTCAAGGCCCTCCCAGCCGCGCCCCCCCGCCCCCCCGCTCACCACTGTGGATCCCGATGCGCAGCTTGAGTTGCTGGTCTGGCCGGTGGCGGATCTTGAAGGTGCGCACGGCGTCGAGCAGGGCCAGGGACATGCGGGCCACCTCGCAGGCGTGCAGTTTGCCGTTGCGCACCGGCAGCCCCGACACCACCATGTAGGCGTCGCCGATCGTCTCCACCTGCAGGGGAGGGGGGAGCACAGCCCTGGGGCAAACTGGCTGCACACGCTGCCCCCACTCCCCGGACACCTCTCGCTCTGGGCCTTGTTGTGAGGCTTGAGTCATTGGATCCATGGGGGGGGGGGGCACATCTGTCCAGGCAGCTTAAGTGTGTGTGTGTGCACCCTCGCACGTGTGTGTGTGTGCACCCTCGCACGTGTGTGTGTGTGCACCCTCGCACGTGTGTGTGTGTGCACCCTCGCACGTGTGTGCCCAGGCAACCTCAGCAGACCAGGAGCGTTGCACTCGGCTGACGCGCCCTCTTGCCTCTGCCCATGAGCTGCCCCCAGCTGACAGGGTCTGGAGGAAACTGCCCCTTCCTCCCAGCGACAGGAGACTGGCTGGGCAGGCCTGGCAGTGCCTCTGCTCCCTGGCACTGGCCCTCGGAGGGCCTGGCAGCGAGTGAGGCTCGGGGCAGTGCCAGCTCCTCTCACAGAGCAGCAGGGGCACGGCTGGGGGGCACGGAGCTGCAGAAGCTGCCTCCGGAGTGAGGATTTCCAGAGCCAGGAGAGCAGAGCTGGGGCACTGGGGGCACTTGACGGCAATGGCGTCTCCACCAGGGCAGCAGCATACGGGGGGCTGTCCTGGGGCGGGGAGCAGTTATTTGTTCGTGCCAGAACCGGCAGTCTAAGTGGGGGCCGGTGTCGGCCAGATCTCCCCGCCCCTGGCAGCCCCCGCCCCCG